CCCCAGTAGGGGGTATGCAGGAAGCAGTCAATGTTTCTCTCTCTCCCTCTTTTTTTCTCTCTAAAATCAATAAAAACGTTTGTTTTTTTTTAAAGAAAGAAAACACAAATGTCACGCCAATGTTACTCCAGGTAAGCATAAGACTGTGATGCTTTGGCTGATGACAGAGTTGAAAAGAAGACATGGGTTTCAGCTGGTTGCAGGGAGAGTGATGAGTCCTCCGTTTTGGTTTGCAAAGGTAGAGGTTTGAAAGGTACATGGAATATTGTTAATATCTGAGAGGTATTTGGAGAAAATAGGCCTAGAATAAATTTAAGATAGAAAGCACAGTCTTTACTCATCAGAGAATTCAGATAAATAAAAGTGGTCATTATATTTTTGCGCCACTTCAATAGGTAACTCTAAGTAAGTAGCACTTTCCTAATATGAATGTCACTACTGGACCTATTGTATTTCATCAAAGATTTGCAAAGTAAAGAAATTCAAAATATACAAGAACATATGCAAATTGAAAAGAACTATGCAAACGGAAATAAATCAAAGTATTAAGCTCCTACCCCTGCTCCTACAACATGCGACTAGCACTGGCCATTGGGCAGATATGAAATACCAGCCTTTCCTTATCAAAATAAAAAAAGCAAAAAATCATGTTCTGATTTCTCAGCAAGAAGCCATTAGACAGATGTAATCATAATGAGACCAAATATTCCTATAAATGAACTGCATGCATTTAGGACCACATGCAGAGTTTAAAAGCAGCTAACGCAAAAGGTAAGTAGAGTTGCCCGGGTGTGTACAATGGCTCAGATGTGGGAGAGCAATTCAATTGGCCCTCAAATAAACTGAATTGTGAATTTATAAGACAAACTCAGCATCCATTAGCTTAAAACTCAAATGGCCCAGTTGTGGCAATGGAAGATATTAGTTTCAAAGTCAACTTCTGTGTTATGATCATCCACCAACATCTAATCACTAAAGTTAAAGCCATATACAAGCATGTTATTTTGCTTTCAAACAGACTGACCACATGGTTCATTCTTTAAATACTGGAAGCCAATCAGAATTACCAAGTGGATGAGAGATTCATTTAAAGACAAAAGAGTTCATTAAAATGGATTTTAAAAATCAACATCTTTACCAGATAAATTAGAAGTAAAATCTGCTTGAAAGTACAACTTCCTTCATCAGAGAAGGGATGGGCCGATTAAAATATAAAACTGGCAAGATTCATAAATTGTAGCCTGGGGAGGCAATCCAACCAGGGGGGCACATTTGTTGTTAGTGGATGTAAAGAGACAGATAAATTGAAATTTGAGTACAGTGTTCAAAATATAAAAACCCATGTCATAAAATATGCTCAGGTGGCATGCCCAACGTTTTACCCAATATTAGGCAGGATATTTATCAAAAGTTATTTGGTAAGTTAGTTGTTTGAAACCCTAAAAATATTTTTTACCAAAAAAAAAATAATAATAATATTATGTATGTTAATTGGTTTTCCAAGATAGATCACAGAAATCCCCTGCTAAATAATGTAAGAAGGTATAAGTATACTACTGGGGAAATGAGGTGATACAAACTGGTCTGTAAAAATAGAATCTTACCATCTTATACAGCACTGCTTTTTAAATTATGAGTCACAATCCATGAAATCAATTCCCTCCCCCCCCCTACCCCAACATTTAATTCTTACTAAGAATGGCAGAGATGGAATGGAAGGGAAAGAACAGAGTTGCAAAAACCAGAGTACATCACCTGTCATAAGGAAAAATATTATTCTTGAAACTTTGTTTGTATTATCTATACTCAAAAAAAGGTTAATATGCAAATGCTCGTGACGCTTTCACGCCATAACGACTGATCAGGCTGCATCCTCACCCAACACTGGCAAGCCAGCCAGCCACGCTTATAAGACGTAAATAGGACCAGCTTGGTCTGAAACCACCGACCTGTGTGTTTAGAATGTTCTAACTTCCTAGACATCAGAATTCATAGCAAGTTCACTCTTTCTGCAGGAGCTGTCTTGGTGAGGCAAAGTCATTATTCTAAAGTCTAGCCCCATGTTCAGGGCACTGCCATGGCTGGGGCAAATAAGTTTACCCACTTTGCTCTCCTCTTAAAATTTTAATATTGTTTTTCAAAGACTTTGTAAACTTAAACACTGTACTAAGAAAAAGGAAAGGGAAGGTTAACAAAATGGTCACGAAATCTACTCTGTATTTCAAATGCACACCATCTGTCCTTAGCCTCTGAGGATGATGCAGCAGGGAATGCACTGGAGTTGTTTTTCAGCCACAGTGACTTTCTGGCCCTGTGTTCCCCATAACCTGTCACCCACCTGCCCTTGTCAGACAGCTGCAAACACAGAGGAGGTCCTGCTGGGATTCGGTCCTCTTCCAGGCAGAAGCTCCTAATTGGCCTGTGTAGGAAGAAACTGCATTCTTGGCCATCTCCTAACCCAGTGGTTGGCAAACCACGGCTTATGAGCCACATTCGGCTCTTTGATCCCTTGAGTGTGGCTCTTCCACAAAATAACAGTGGTACAGTGCGATTGAAACTTCATGGCCCTGCGCAGAAGTCGGTTTTTGGCCTGGGCGAGTCTATTTTGAAGAAGTGGTGTTAGAACACTCAAGGGGCCAAAGAGACGCATGTGGCTCTCGAGCCTTGGTTTGCTGACCACTGTCCTAACCAAAATAAAACCAAAGGCCATTCGTTATGAAAATATCCATCTCTTCTCTTGACCTCCCTGAAACTAAAGTTACCTCCAAAGCTAGAATTAGAGCATTTGGGGGAAATGAAAAACTGCATAAAATTTTCTCCTATCCTAGCACTTTTGCTTTAAGGAAATGAATATTTTTAAAGGGTTGGGGATATCTTCCTTATAATTTCTCTTCCTACCAGATGTAGAGAACTCAAGCACTGCCTCTTCTTTCATAAGAGTGTGTTGAAGGGGTTACTGTCTGAGAAGAAAGCATCCTCAAAACACATTTCTGACTCAGTTATTCACCTCTTTGGGCATAGATTTTCCCCACAGGCAGGAAAGGGGCAGTCACTTAACTCCTCCAACAACCCTGACAAAAGTGATACCTGAGTGGTGTGTTTTAGTGGATTCCGCCAACACTGAATCAAGCATTTGTAGAAAGGAGAGAGCAGATGCTACAGTAGCTACTGCCTTTAAATGGGCAGAAAATACACAAAGCAAGGTTTAAGGAGTTTTCAAAGACAGGGATTCCCTTTCCCTGGAGCTCTCCAAAGGCAGAACAGCTTCTCATTTTCTTAATTGTCCAGCTATGTCTCTGTCTTAGTTTTTAAAGCTCTCTCCAACCATCAATGATTAAGAGTCAGTTTTCCTAAGAAGTCAAGGTGGGGTGTCCATTGGTTGGAGGATAAAACAGGCTTATATACAAAATGCAATACATGCCACCAAAATTGCTTGGTCATGTGGAGTGTGTGTGTGTGTGTGTGTGTGTGTGTGTGTGTGTGTGTTTTAATATATTTTTACACATGCCCAGGTTGCAGGCTCAGTGTCCAGTGTGGCATGGGATTTGTTCATTTAGGAACAAAAATCCAAATACAAGTGAAGAGAAAGCCAAAGAGAAAAGCAATTTTAAAGGAGTCTCTCAGACGCAAGAAGAGTCCCCAAATGCTGCCTAACATTTACATCACAGAGAAGCAAAGAGGCAGAGATGTTACCCATCAAAGAAGACGGCTCATCTCAGCTGCGGGCCTGGAAAACTTTCCTTTTTCAGGCTCTTCAATCTTTCTTAGAATCCAGGCTACCAAGTGTTCAGGCTGAAATGCCTGATTTCTGCCAGCCTGCTCTTGTTTCCCAACTCCATGGGGATCTCCCGGCTTAAAAACACAATAGAGATTGGGCGATCTGACCTCCAAAATCAAAGATATATCACCAGAGGAGCTCAGAGGGTAAGAACACCGACAGTTGCCAAAGGTGAGCAGACTAGCAAGCAGTCAGGAAAGGGACTTAGAGTTTCTTTTTACTGAAGGACAAACTCCTGCACTCAGGAGGGAAGAGACCAAGTGCTGCCCTCTCTGGCCAGTCGGGGAACTGCAGACAGACGGGGCTGAAGCAGCTCCTGGAGAAGCCCTAAGGCTGGCAGGGAGAGTAGCGGGGCCCTGCGGCTCAGTGAGCAGTGCTGAGTGGGCAAGCACACACTGCCCACTGGTCCATCTGGCCAGGCCAAAGCCAGGGCCCTTGGTCCTGGCCTCGTTGTCAAGCAGCCTGCTGGGAGGGCTGCTGGAGAGAGACAAAGGACACTGTGGCTCTATAGAAGTGAGGAAGGGATGCATCCCAGGAGGACAAGCAAGCCAGCCTTCTCATAAACAACTTCCTACTGAGATACTTTCAGCAGCGGCACTGCCATCACAGGCAGGTAGGAGCAATTAGATGGACCTGCCTTCAGAGGCCGGATCTGCTCACCTGATTCTGCAAAGCCTATGTTAACCCTTCTCATCCCCACTGGATGGCACTCACAGGAGACATGAGTTCACTTTTTGAGTGTGTGTGTGTGTGTGTGTGTGTGTGCTGGAGGTTGGGGGAGGGCCGCAGTTGCAGGACTCAGGGAGGTAGGAACCTTCTGACCTAACGGTATTACTTTGTTGTGTTTCCAAATTAAAAGGAAAAGGGGAAGGAACAAAGTAGGCAGCTGGGAGGGACTGTGGGACGCTGCTCATTTTTAGCATTCCTGCTATGTTAGGCAAAGACCAACTATAAAAACTCATCCAGATGAACAGAAAAATGTGTTTGCCTGTCAACTAGGGAAGAAGGGGGGGTTGAGTGGGGAGAAGGTTCCCTGAGGTCCAGGGAGGCGCAACTTCAGGCTGCAGGTCTCCTCCTCGCCCTCCTGTCCCTGCCCCGCCCCAGACACCTCGATGGAAAGCAGACCAGTGAGCCTGCCCTGGCCAACTCCGGGGGACCCCCGGGGCCCGTCGGTCCGGGGTCGCGGCCACCGCGGCTGCGGGGACACGCCCTCGCCACCTACCTCCAGCGTGGGAGAGGCGCCCTTGCCCGGCAACGTGCAGCCCAGGAGCTCGGCGAGAAACTTTGCCATAAACGAGTGGAGAGGCAGGTCCCTCCGCAGCGCTGGGTGCGTCCTCTGCCCGCGGAGGAGCCCGGGGGGCGTGGTGGTGCCCGCGGGCTGGGGGGCTGCCCCGCGCCGGCCGGGGACCCGGGACCGGGGACCCGGGCCGGGACCGAGCGCGCCGGCTGCCCGTCCGCCGCTGTCCAGTCCCGGGTGCGAGGGGCGCGCGGTCCCGCCCGCCGACCCGGCCTCCACGCCGCGGGATCGGGCGCCGCGGTCCGCTCGCCTTTCCCGCTGAATGTGCCTCTCACCGCCGGGAGGGCGGGCCCGGGGGGCCGGGGGATAGAGGGAGGAGGCACAGGAGGGCCAAGGAGCCGCAGGGAGACGGCCGCGCGGGCAAGGGCAGCGGCGGCGGCGCGGGCACCGGGCGGCCCAGCCCTGGGCGCGGGCACTCCAGCGACACCGCCCGGCGCTCGGCGGGAGAGCGGGAGGCGCAGGCGGGGAAGGGTCTGCCCTTGCGAGCCCTCGGCTGACCCACTTTCCCAGGGTCCCCTCCCCCGTGCCAGGGCAGGTGGAAAGGCGCTGCTCCGGCTGCTGCGGGACCCGGGAGAGTTACAGCTGCGAGGCGCCAGCTGCCCCAGCTCCCCCCACCCCACCCTCACCGGCCAGCGCCAGCCCCACCCTCCCTTCGGGAAGGGAAAAGGCTCCTGACGCCTGGAGGGGGGACTCCTCCTGTTAGCCCCTGTTAGTGAACGGGGCAGGCACAGATATGGGGCCGGGGCAGAGCTGCTCCATCATCACCGTCCCCGCTGGCCTCCCTGGCCTTGTCTGGGGGCGGGGGGGGGGGGGGGGTATGGAGGGGCAAGGACCAGCATGGCCAGGAGCCTGATCACAGGCAATGTGGGCCCTGTTGTTCTTTCCAGGCCTATCAAGGCTTGTCTTTTAATAAGAGAAGCTGCTTTCAGGACACAAGACCTAGGTTGCATATTTATGCAGCATCCCTATAGCTGTATGTCTCGAACTTTTGTGTGCATAAGCATAACCTGCAGAGCTTATGGAAACCAGATCTGGCCTGGCGGGTGTGGCTCAGAGGTTGAGCTTTAACCTAGGAACCAAGAGGTCCTGGTTAGATTCCGTTCAGGGCACAGGCCCCAACTGCGGACTCTATTCCCAGTAGGGAGTATGCAGGAGGCAGCCTATCAGCTATTTTCTCATAGGTGTTTCTCTCTCTCTCTCCCTTCCTCTCTGAAATCAATAAAAGTATATTCACAATAGATAAACCAGATCTGCTTTTTTATTAGGCACTCAGGAGATTCTGATGAAGGTAGTCCTCAGGCTGGGCTCTGAGAAACATTGCCCTGCCTTGTCAAATCCATAGGTCAGCACTTGCAGGGACTGTAAAAGCAATAGATTGATGGCACCGACCTTAGAAAAAGTTTTCTCAAATCACCTTTTTCATATGCAAAAAAGACAGACTAATACTTCATCGCGTCACATGGTATTAGACTCCTGGCTTATAGGAGCTTCTATAATCGTGTGTTGACCAAATAGGAGATGGATGGTTGGATAGATGGTGATGAATAGCTGGGTCCAGATTTCCTAATTCTCATTCCAGAATTCTAGCTGGTTCAGCAAATTCACTCTGAATTTAGGGAATTTGGGAGCTAAAATGGGCAGGAAAAGTGTTAAAATAGTTTTAATGTAATATCAAAATAAGCAATGTGCTAGCTGGAAAGAAAATGGAAGGAAAACTGATATGCAAGGAGTATCTGCAGTTGTCTCAGGGGCTGTGTCCATAGGTTAGAGCACAGGTTATGGGAAAAGACTACCTGGATTTAAATCCCAGTTCTGACATTTAATAGCTGCGAGACTTCAGGCGAGTGACTTCTCTGTGCTTCAGTTTTCTCATTTGCAAAGTAATAAAGGTAACTACGATATGTGGTTTGTATTTGCCGGCACAACTCACCATCTTAAAGCAACCCCCTTTTATTATCTTGCAGTTCTGTGGGTTAAAAGTCTTGACTGGCTGAAGTGGATTCTCTGCTTAAGAACTCACAAGGTGAAAGAAACTGAGATGCCAACCTGCTGGGCCCTAGGAAGAATCCCCAATCTGGAGGCTCTGGGAAGAATGCCCTTCCAAACTCATTCAGCTTCTTGTCATCCAGGTTGTTGGCAGAATCCCATGCCTTGGAGCTGTAGGCCTGAGGTCCTTGTTTCCTTATTGGTTGGCATCAGGGCTGGCCCTCTGCTCCTACAGTTTGCCCAGGCTCTTTCTCATGTGAACCCCTCTGTCCTCAAAGCAGCAACTGCATTGAGTCCTTCCCATGCCTCAAATCTCTCCAGCCTCCTCTTTTTGCCAACAGCCACAGAAAAGTTCTTGCTTTTAAAGAGCTTGTGTTTTATATGTTAGTAGAGGCCCAGTGCATGAAAAAATCATGAAAATTCATGCACTGGGTTGGGGAAGGGGGGGGGGGGAGTGGAGTCCCTCAGCCCAGCCTGCCCTCTCTCACAGTCCGGGAGCCCTCAGGGGCAGGAGGTGACCTGGTGATCAGGGGAAGGTGATGCCCCATCACACCTCTGCTGTTGCCACTGCTGGCAGTACCAGCCTCAGCCGGCCCTGGTTACCTGAGCCTCGGGTGGTCCTGGGCGGCTGGGCAGCCACCATCTGAGGCTTGCCTACACCTCAGGCTGGCCCTGGGCAGTTGGGGGACTGAGAGGACTGGGGGACTTTGGAGGCAGGTGCATGGAGCAGTCTGGCCCGCCTGGGAGTGTGCCCAGCCTTGCCATGCCCCTGCCACCCCAACTGGGCTGAGGGGACTGGGTGCCACCATCTTGTGGCTTTGGATGCCGCCATCTTTGATGGTGTGGCAGTCAATTAGCATATTCCCTCCTTGTTGTCTGTGGGTCCCACCATCTTTGAGGGTAGGGCAGTCAATTAGCATATTCCCTCCATATTGGCTGTGGGCCCTGCCATCTTTGCAATGGTGTGAGATCAATTAGCATATTCCATCTTTATTAGATAGGATAATATCTAGGCCTAGCTGAATAATCTGCCTAGTTTAAGATAAATTGATTAGTCACCTTAATTGCATCTTCAAAGTTTGGCTCCATAATCTATAATAATAAAAGCACAATATGTTAAGTAGACCAGAAGACCTTCCAGATGACCTTCTGGACGAAGCTGGGCTACAAGGAGTGAGCCCCTTGCACAAATTTCGGGCATTGGGCCTCTAGTATAACATCATCACACAAGTAACCCCAGGGGTGAAAATCATGAGCGCTATCTTGAGGAATAGGTAATTTGGAATAGTGTTTTGTTTTATGATATTTATATTAATCATTCAATAAAGGTTAGCTGTGGGTTTTTTCCTACACATGTCACCTAATTTGATTGTCACTACAACTCTGTATTATTTTAAAGGTGGGAAACTGAGAATCAAAAAGATTGCCCAACATAACACAGCGAGTTAGTGGCAGAGCCAGAAATCAAACCTAGCATAGCTGCCAGTCAAGTCTGTACTTTTGCTATCTATGATCCTGCGTGGTGGAGAGGTAGCAAAAGACAGGTAACGCTTACTTAGAGAAGTGGGGTTTGGGCAGGGGTGTCACAATAATGAGGAACAGAAGGAACATTTACAGATAATCACTTGCCCTATGTAAGTAAGTAGTAGTTTAGTTGTTGAAAAGGCTCTCTTAAATACTATCTGAATTGAGAAAATCTAACTGAACTGATGGATTGTTAGTGAGTAGAGGTAATTTTTTTGTGATGATACTTGTCTTAGGAGGCTACACATTCACTTGCAATCTAGACTCTTCCTTTGATGAGCTCTTCCTCTCTATGCCTCCTCCCCTCTGCCATCTTGAATCCTTCAATGTCAAAAGGAAATAAACATTTCTGAAGGGCAGGCACACACCGACCCAGCCTTGAGAGCAAGAACATTGCCCAGACCTAATCCAAGGTCTGCCACTGTCATGTCTATTTCCTGCTCTACCTTGCTGATAGAGCAAGGACAGAGGTCCAGCTCCATCCTTGACTGACCCCTCCCCCCCACCCCACCGCCCGCAGCCCTGTCCCCTGAAAAAAAAAGCAAGGCAAACAAATAAGTAATCTCATCATCTCTGATACTCCTCCATTTAGGACCTTGACCATACTATTATTCATGAGGATTTTTCATACCCTTTGACTTAGTATTCCTACTTCTAGAATTTACCCTCATAAAATAATCAGATAATTACTGAAAGATTATTACATTTAAATTGTTTCATGCACATAGGGGTAAGTGAGTGTCTTTTTGACTGAAACATAAATCACTGTGGTTAAAAGAATAGGACTAGAGTCAAGCTGCCTGGTTTTGGGGGGGAGGTGTATAGTGGGGGGGAGGTGTCTCTGTGTGTGTGTGTGTGTGTGTGTTTTAATTTACCTTTATTGTTGAAAGTATTAGAGATGTCCCCCTTTTTTCCCCATTGACCCCCTCCACCCCATATCCTCCCACCCTCTCTTCCAGGCCGTCAACACACTATTGTCTGTGTCCATGGGTTATGCATTTATGCATATAAGTTCTTGGTAAATCTCTCCTATCCCCACCCCAACTCCCACCTTCCCTCTAAGATTCATCAGTCAGTTTCATACTTCTATGTTTCTGGATTTATTTTGTTCATCAGTTTATTTTGTTCATTAGACTCCACATATGAGTAAGATCATGTGATATTTGTCTTTCTCTGGTTGGCTTATTTCACTTAGCATGATACTCTCCAGGTCTCTTTTTGCTGTCTCAAAGGGTAAGAGCTCCTTCTTTTTTACAACTGCATTGTGTAAATGTACCACAGCTTTTTTATCCACTCATCTCTGGGTTTGAACTCTGGTTCTGCCACATACCAATTGGGTGATTGTGGACCAGTCACTTGAATTCTCTAAGCCTCCATTTCCTAATCTGGAAAACAGAAATAATAAAAATACCTATTCCTCATAAGAATGTAATTAGTTAATACTATCATATTATACTAACTTATTATAATGATTATTATATTAA